TGGGTATCATCGGCTTTCTCTCGTCACGGGCAGCATGCTCTTTTTTCCGCAAACCTCTAGATCGATCAGGGGTCGAAAGCATATGTACATCAGCGTTACTTTAGTATACGTTATAAGTTAGCGACTGGGAGCCCACCAATAGAAGGGCTACAGTGAAGCAGAAAACATATTTGATAGCTCTTTCAACGCTCTTTCGCTAGCTTCGGGTCAGATTTCATCTCAGGTCTATGTTTTGCCCATAGAAGACAAACAGCTAACTGGACAGATTCTGCCGAAACATTTGCTTTGCAATAACTTTAGATTCCGTGAGTTTGTATGGTATTTACATATGTTGTCTTGTCACCACTGTGTTTATCTCTTTGAGACGCGTCACATGAGTTAAAATTTGACCATTCAGAATTAACGTTAAAACGACCTCAGGTCAACGTTATGTCCAGATCGAAAAAGGACCTCCTGCTGCATATGAATGGATCCGTGTTGTTGAGCTGAACTATGAACACCTTCCAGGTGCTGTCATCGCTCTACCGCGTCTTCGTCAAAAGTTGTAGAAAAAAAAATGCTGGTGGCCATCGATGGACATTTCCACTAATGACCTTTCGAGTCATCACTCGCCATAAGTTGCACCCTGTCCCTGGCGATGATGAGCTGATTTGTCATGGCTCCAAAGATATTTTGCGTTTCTGACGAACTTTTTCAAAGCAGGAGGCATTCGTGCTTTTTATAATTTCTCATTATTTTCTAATGATGAGGTCACGTATTTGACCTGCCTCCAGATCATAGATGTAAATCCTCAGAATCATGAATTGCTGACACGTATAACCCCATACATTATATAGGCGGTGTGCCGCGCAACAATCCGGCGGCTCTACGCCGGTTGCGGGAAAATCAGGTCATGTGACTCAGGTCATGTGACTCCCGCGGGTCGGGAGCCACCAATCGCTGCGCGCCACGATTGGCCGGCGGGTCGGCCGTCCGGGCCGCGCGGCGGCGACCCCGCCATTCGTGCACTGGTTCTGTGTGGTTCGTGACGTGTGCGTCTGCGTGAACGGTAAGATTTGCTATTTTGTTACTATGAATTGTTGTAAACCCTCATTTGTTGTTAACTTTGCTTTGCTTAGTGGTTATTTTTATCGTTGTCTGCATTTGTGCGTTGTTAAGTTAATTTTAATCTGTTGCAGGACGCGGGCTAGTCTGTAGGGCTAGTCTGTGGAGCTAATAACAAGTTGATAGCGGAGCTTATGTCTGAGATTTGATATTTGAACTCCGCACCACAATATAAACTTACGAAAGCATAAGCACCGTGTTGTCAATGGGAGGCAGCAGTTGTGACGCAGAGCTCGGCACCCCGGCCCTACATCTGGTGGCAGCGGTGTGCGTTCTCCTTCGCACCCACGTGGCCGAGTCTGAGCTGCGTCTTGCTGCCCTCCACTCGGGTGCTCGCTTGTTGGCACGTGGTACGTGGATCATGGAGCATCGCTTCCTGTTCGGCTGCCTGCATCTGGCTGTGGCGTGCGCGGGCGCTGATTGCGGGCCCCGCTGAGCGGCTCGCTATTCGGGCCTGTGTCGAGGCTCCGGTGCGGCACAGCTGACTGCGCCGGGCGCGCGGACGGCCTCCCCGCTGGGACCCGCGGCGAGGCTACGGACTGGACCCGGCTGCCTCGGCCGGGCGGGCGACCGGGCGTCTGGGCCCCGAGGGCCGGTCGGTGACTCGGTGCTGTGATTGGCGGACGGTCGGACGGGCGGACGGCCGGCCGTCCGGACTCGACGGGTACCGCGTGGGGAGCGGCTCTGCGCGGCGGACCAGCTGACCAGCTGACGCGGCTGCGGGCTGCCAACTGTCTCCGTGACCTGACGCGTGCGTACGTGGCGCACGGATGGAGCGAGAGTTATGGACTTCATGGGGTGAGTGTTGAACTGTGTTACCTTGTATCATTGTTACTGTATATTGTACTTTACTTTGTGCGTACGTTACTTTACTTCGTTGTGGGGTCCTCATACATTTGTGACTTTAACTGACTTCTGTGCAACGTTCGTTGTTTAGTTAGATGATTGTGAAAAATTGTTTTTTTTTCTGTCGATTTTCGAGATTAGGCGCCTGGAGTTAAGTTTCACTGTGCCTCTGGGACAGAAATTACCTGCCTGAGTATTTGGTCTCTGATCTCTCGAATCCCTTGCTAATTTTACTTGCAATCGTCCCGTTCACGATACCATTTAACATGGCTCATCAGACTTTGGTTACACTGGGATTACCGTCATTTGGGGGTAACACTGGTTCAGTTTCTAGGTTTATTTCTGACTTTACGACGTACGCGGCTTTTCAAAACTGGGATAACGCTAAGCAGGCTAGCCTACTCCCTTTGTGCCTTACCGGTATCGCTCGTGATGCGTATGACTGTCTCCCGGAGGCATCCAAAAAGTCGATTACTTTGGCTTTTGGGGGTCTCCGACAGGCCTTCCCTTCCCATGGCGTGATCGAGGCTCAGGTGCAGCTGAGGGGCTTGAGGTTTGACCCAAGGTCTGACCTGGATGCATTTGTCATCCGACTGAGGGGACTTGTTTGCGCTGCGTTTCCGGACAGTGAGGCTGATTGTCTGCTGTTCAACTACTTTATGCAGGCGCTACCCATGCAGTATCAGTCCCGTTTGATTTCTGACGGCATTGCGTCGTTTGACACCGCACTGGTCGCAGTCCGCAACATGTGTTGCGCGGCACGGCTGAACGTGAGTCAGCCTGCGCCGGTCCGGCAGGTCCAGTCTGAGAGCGACGTGCTCCGTCAGAGGGTCGAGGAGTTGGAGAAGGAGTTAGCTCGTCTGAAGGGAACCGGAGGTTCCAAGGCTACCGGCTGTTTCTGTTTTTGTTGTGGTGGTGAGGGCCATGTCCGTAGGAACTGTCGTAATAGGAACTCTGTCTGCTATCTCTGCGGCATCAAGGGTCACTTGGCTCGAGTCTGTGGACTTAGGGCTCCGGAAAACACGAGTGGGGCCGCCGGTTCCGCCCCACCGGGTCGGGCCCCGTACCCGCAGAGGGGGGCCAGGGGTGCTCCGGCACCAGGCAGCGCTCAGTGGCCGCCGCCGGTGCCGCTGCAGGCGGACGCAGCTCTGCATCCACCGGGGATGGGTCCCTCGATGTATCAGCCGCGGTTCGTACGGCCGAATCCGGCTCCGGACTCGACGGGTCAACCGAGGACGTCGACCGCGTCGTCCTGCTGAGGCGTGATATGACTTTCGATGGCGTGGTGGGCGGTGTTCGGTGCTCACTGCTACTTGACACCGGTAGCAGTATTAACTTGCTCAGTAAGTCTGTCTTTGATGTTTTGCCGAGTCGTCCTCCACTGATGAAGACGTCTGCTGTGGCGAGCACAGCCACACAGGATCCTCTGCCGCTGCTGGGGAGGGTAAAGGTGTCTCTGAAATTGGGAGGTCAGACCACAGTTGTGCCTTTCTTTGTTTCAGAGTGTATTGATGTGCCTGTCATGTTAGGTTTAGAGTTTTTGGCTGCGTGCCCATGCGTAATTGACATATTTGCTGGCCAACTGGTTCTGACGCCATCGCGAGCGGTTCGTTCAGTTTCAGCTTCCGTCATTTCTGTGGGACGGGTGATTCTCCAGAATGACCTGTCTGTTCCTCCGGGACATGAGTTAGTTTTCTCTGGTTTTGTCCCGAATTCAGACTACCGTGGCCCGGCTATGATGGAGCCGTGCGCTGATATTGAGGGCCTTGAGTTTGTCCCCTCAATTGTGTCCGTATCTGGTCAGTCGGTTCCGTGTGTGGTTAGAAATGTGACAACCCAGCCGGTGACGATTCCTAAGCGTTCAGAGGTCGGCCGGCTGGAGGTCGGTATCGCAGAGTGTCCGCTGTCGGGCGATCAGACCGCTGAGCGGGATTGGCGTGATCGGCTCGACCTGTCCGGTAGTGATCTTTCCGACCAACAGCGTGCCGCGCTCACTTCTCTGCTCGCTCGGTACGAGGATATGCTTGATGGTCGCCTTGGATTCACGTCTCTCGTCCAGCATCACATAGACACAGGAGACGCCCCTCCTGTCAGGTGTGCTGCTCGTCGGGTTCCCCCTTTCCTCCAGGAGAAGGTAAAGGCTGAGCTCGATCGTATGGTTGAGGCTGGTATTCTCGAGGAGAACTTTGGGAGTAGTTGGGGTTCTCCAATCTGTGTCGTTACCAAGAAGGACGGCAGTGTTCGGATCTGCGCTGACCTGCGCAAGGTCAATGCAGTGACCCGGATTCCTGCATATGGCATTCCTCGAATTGATACCATTCTTGACTCTCTTGCGGGTCATTCCATGTTTTGTGTACTCGATCTTAAGCAGTGCTATTACCAGATCGGAGTAGCTCCTGAGGACTGCGACAAGACTACCATAGTCACTCCATTTGGTTCATATAAGCACAGGCGGCTTCCACTAGGAATTAATAGCGCCCCGATGACATGCGCTCGACTTCTAGATCTAGTGCTCCGTGATGTGCCTCCAGATACTGCTGTAGCATACTTTGATGATATTTTGATAGGTGGAAAAGATTTTGATGATGTCATGAGCAAACTCGAGTTGGTTTTACAGAGGCTACGTGCCGCAGGCTTGACAATCAACCTGAGCAAATGCTCCCTGTTCCAAAGGTCTGTGAAATTCCTTGGGCACGTCATTTCTGCCGACGGTGTCGCAGTCGACCCTGAGAAGGTCGAAAAAGTCCGCAACTGGCCAGTTCCTCGAACCGCCAAGCAACTCGCTTCATTTCTTGGCATGGCCAGCTTTATGCGTAAACATGTCAGAGACTTTGCTAGCATTGCAGCCCCATTGCAGCGCCTGCTGCACAAGGACGTTCGTTTCGCGTGGACAGACGAAGCTCAGAACTCGTTCGATAGGCTACGCACAGCCCTGTGCGAGGCTCCGGTTCTCACCGTGCCGGATTTCAGTCCCAATGCTGGTGTGTTTATCCTGGAGACTGACGCGTCACAGGAGTCAGCGGGTGCTGTCCTGAAACAGCGGGTCGGCGATGATGAGAAAGTCATTGCGTATGGCAGTCACAAGTTTTCAAAGGCGCAATCCAATTACAGCGTGACTAAACGTGAGTTACTTGCAGTGGTTTTATTTGTTGATAAATTCGCTCCGTATTTGCTTGGTCGGCAGTTTTTAATCCGGACTGATCATGCCAGCCTCCGATGGTTACTGAATTTCAAAAATCCATCTGGTATATTGGCCCGGTGGTATGAGATTCTTGGCCAATTTCAGTTCGTCATCGAGCACCGTCCAGGGTCAGAGCACGTCGTGCCTGACGCTCTCAGCCGCAGACCTCCAGATGTGGACGACAAGGCCTGTCAGACTGAAGGTCTTTCTGTCCCCGTGTTTCGTGTCAATGCTTCTGACTGGTCAGTAAGCTACATTCGCGCTGAACAGGACCAGGATCCAGACTTGTCTGAGATCAGCAGACACCTGTCTGCAGGTCGCAAACCGAAGAAGAAAGAATTGTCTGCGGCAGCAGGTCGGTTTCTGTCGCAGTGGCACCGACTACGACTTGTGAATGGGGTACTTTTTCGTCTGTACCGAAGGAGACCGTTTGACTCTGATCAGCTCCAGATTGTGTTGCCCAGAGCTCTCATTTCCAGTGCCCTGGCGTCACTGCACGCTGGGCCTTCCGGTGGCCACTTCGCAGCTGACAAGCTGTTCGAACAGGCCAGACTCCGGTTCTGGTGGCCTCAGATGTTCACCGAGATAGAGTCCTTTTGTAAGAAATGTCCCCAGTGTGGTTCGCGCAACGCCCCAATTCCGGCTCCGAGGGCTTCGCTTGGTGAGCTCTCAGCAACAGAACCACTCGAGGTAGTGGGTCTGGACATTCTGTCATCATTGCCAGAGACTCCAAGTGGTCACAAGAATCTTCTCGTTGTAGTAGATCACTTTTCACGCTGGGTAGAAGCGTATCCGTTAAAGAGTCAAGAAGCAGCTGAAGTTGCTACAGTGTTCGTTCGCGAGTTTGTTTCCCGATTCGGCTGTCCGCGCCGGATTCATTCAGACCGCGGTGCTAACTTCACGGGTGAAGTCTTGAAAAAGACGTGCGAGCTTCTGGGTATCGCTCAATCCAAGACTACCGCGTTCCATCCCATGTCCAATTCCATCGTAGAACGCACCAACCGAACTCTGATTAACATGTTTGCAAAATTCCTTGAACAGCATGAGCACGCTGAGTGGGATAGAAATCTTCCGTTACTTTTGCTTGGGTTGCGAGCTCAAGTGCATCGATCTTTAGGTGTGTCACCCTATTGTGTCATGTTTGGAAGAGAGCCCCGGCTACCGATTCAGCTGGAGCTCGACACCCCTCTGAAGGGCCGAACCCGACCCATCACTGACTATCTTGATGAACTGCGATCAAATTTGCAGGCACTTCATCGTCTCGCGTTTGACAGTGCCAGGCTCAGTCATCGACGGAACAAGGCGGTTTATGATCGGAAGATAAATGACTTTAAGTTTGCCCCAGGTGACCGTGTTTATTTGCACAAGGGAGTGGTCCCAAAGGGATCATATTATAAGTTCCTCCGACCGTGGAAGCCCGCGGTTGTTATAGCCAAAGTCGGAGATATGAACTATAGGATAAGGTTAGATGGTGCCAAAGCGACACTACTTGTGCACCACAACAGGCTCAAGCCACGAGCTAGACAGGATCCGGACCAGCCGCGGAGCGGTGTCGCGACCGATCCCGCGACTGATCCTGTGCACCCAACAGGGGGGAGGGGACGTGTGGGTGACTGGTCTCGGGAGGTGGTGGGGGAGTCTCAGTGGAATGGCCATGCTGATGAGCCAGCTGTACTCACTCGTATTGCCCCTGATCAGTCGTATGTCCCATGTATTTCGCATCCGGCACTGAATTTGAGCCCCACTGTGCCGCTCTTGACCAGCGGTGTCCCCGGTGATTCGGGAGATGAGAGACCTGACCCAGGCGCGGGTGACAGACTGAGTCCCGCTGGTACTCGTGAAGGGCAGACGGAGGGTTCGGAGACCACCGCATTAGGCGATGCGCCTCTGAGACGCTCTGCGCGGAGCAACAAAGGTGTGGCTCCTGAGCGGTTGACTTATGGGTAATTTTGTTTGGTAGCTGCCGTTGAGCCGTGAGCACTGAGCATTGTCATGTGAAAGTTCTAGCCCGAGTCTCTGTGGTGAAAATAAAGTAGAGCGGACAATGTTGGGTCGAGGGCCCCGACTCCTTCATTTGTTATGTCTCTAGTGGGTTGAATGGAGACTCGTTCGATTATTGCCGCAGATTCAGAGGGATTTAGCTGGAATTTGTGCAGTGTTATAATGTGCTCCTCGATGGTGTCAATTGTCCGGCGCGTGTGTGATTGATTTCTGAATTGTGCTGCCGCTGTTCCGGCCGGTGTTAAGCTGACGTTGAGAGGACTGTATGCTCGTTAAGGGGGAAGAGTATAGGCGGTGTGCCGCGCAACAATCCGGCGGCTCTACGCCGGTTGCGGGAAAATCAGGTCATGTGACTCAGGTCATGTGACTCCCGCGGGTCGGGAGCCACCAATCGCTGCGCGCCACGATTGGCCGGCGGGTCGGCCGTCCGGGCCGCGCGGCGGCGACCCCGCCATTCGTGCACTGGTTCTGTGTGGTTCGTGACGTGTGCGTCTGCGTGAACGGTAAGATTTGCTATTTTGTTACTATGAATTGTTGTAAACCCTCATTTGTTGTTAACTTTGCTTTGCTTAGTGGTTATTTTTATCGTTGTCTGCATTTGTGCGTTGTTAAGTTAATTTTAATCTGTTGCAGGACGCGGGCTAGTCTGTAGGGCTAGTCTGTGGAGCTAATAACAAGTTGATAGCGGAGCTTATGTCTGAGATTTGATATTTGAACTCCGCACCACAATATAAACTTACGAAAGCATAAGCACCGTGTTGTCAATGGGAGGCAGCAGTTGTGACGCAGAGCTCGGCACCCCGGCCCTACAATTAGGTATACAGTGTACCAAATTTCGAAGTTATGGGAAAAAAGCTACAAGAATGGCGAGAGGGGAAAGTTTGATAGAGGTATACCGTATAACTGAACTTGACATAGCGACCTGACCTTAAGTGACCAGTGATAATTTTTACGCAAGTGATGTAGGTAGGTATACCTACCTAATAGGTTATACCAAATTTCGCGGCGCTGCACGCCGCTTTGTTACAAGCGCACACATGCACATACGCACGCACAAAACTGGCAAGTGTGGCAAAAAAAAAACACCCCTACCCATCGGGTGAAGACTAGAAACCCGACCCCCCACTCAAAAATCCGTGGCGACGCCCCTGGGTGTAGCTATGTCGAGCATTATGACTTTTTCTAAGGTAAGGTCACTTGACGACCTTGACCTAGAGTGACCTGGTTTGAAGTCTGGATTTGTTTCAGCCTATGCGGAAAAGACGCATGAAAAGGTGTGCCAAAAAAGAACGGTGGCGTGGAGCCCCACAGTTTTTTTAACTAAGCTGTGAAAAACCACATGGGGACGTTCAAACACTCCCGGCCCGGCGTGGATTAACCTGACCTCCGCGTCCCGTAACGGCGCACCTGTTCGAAATTCCGCAAACTGGACGAAATGGCGAGGGGGTTCGCAGGCCGAAACCGCTTTCGCCCCCCCCCCCCGCAGGTATGAAGAATACTTATAGATCCAGTGATGGATAATCTAGATTTGATAAGTAAAAAAAAACGCAATTTCTAGTGATGATTATAAAGACATTTTACTAATGTTTTCCTCTCTGCGATGATCTATACACGGAATTTTACTCCGTAACCTGTTGTTACATAATCTGCCGCCTATGAGTCGTTACGTCGCTACAGAGTAATGTATGCCCTGTGATGATGGCGATGTAATTTACGTCGCTGATTTTGCGTCCGATTTCCTACCAGGCGAGTTTCGAGTCAGGCACGCGAGGGCTTAAGCACGGGATTTCTGACCCTTGTCATCTCGCCAATACGGCAGAATTGACCGCACTACGTATCAATTTGGCCGGCATGCTGCGCCGCAGGGGCATTGCGTGCTTATCCCATGGTGGGGAAGGTATAAAACAGGGAGCCCCTTAGTCACCTCTACAGTTGAGGGAACACTTCGCTACTCGCCATGAAGTCGGTACGTATATGGAGGCTGGTCTAGCTGCTGTGTCACGACCGATCCTTAGGACACAACATTGCAGTGTCAAAATTATACATATTTGATCTTCTATCATACCTTTTCTGCTCTTTTTGCTACATAAATGGCTTCTTGCCCCAAAATCTTTGTCTGATTGTTGCTTAAAATTAAAAGCAAAATTATCCAAAAAGATTTATATTTTTAACACAAAACTGTCCAACTTTGTTCAGAATCACTTCTTTTCTTTGAAATCCTAGTCTTTGTCTAGGATCGCTATTTTTTTCCAAAAAAAAATCAGTTAAGTGTTTTCGGTCACTATCCATCATCAGTCGCTTCGTGCGTTTCCACGCGTCAGTTCTGCTCCTTATCAATGAACTGGCTTATGATTGTTTAGTCTTCGATGAAGCAGCATAACTTTCGAATTAAAACGTATTATTTGCAGCTTGAAATTTTGTTTCGATACTATAGGACTTATACTCAATCTTTTTTTCTTCTTTTGAGGGAAGGTGTATTTCTCTCATGATGTACCTAACATGCGTGGCCCGTTAACATAGGTGGGGCATTCCACGATAGATCGTACCACTTTTTTCCAATTTGACACCCTCATCTCTCGGAATTTGACGAGAATTGGTCTCAGGGGTAATCAGGGGCTCTGAATCCACCTGTAACAATTTCAGGCTTATCAGATAAGTATTTTTTGAGTTATGGTGTATAACATTTTTTGGATCTTGCTTTGCAGCGCTAGGTTTGGCGGACTGTAACTCTAAGACGGATTATTCAAATGCCAAATATTATATAACATTGAACTTGCAATTAAACAGAGATTAATACGTATTTTTGAAATTTCGAAAAATACGCTTTTTTTGGTATATGACATACCGAGTTTTCTTTCATTTGTATTTTTTGGACTTTGGGACCAATTTTTTTTTGAATTTTTATTTCTTTAAAAAAAAATATTTGGCTCATTGTTAAGAAGTATGCAAAAAATTAGGAAGGTGTTCTTTTTATAAATGTATTTATTTTACCTCACGATAACGGTTTCGAATAGTGATTTTGGGAGGGGAGCTTACAAATGGCGTGGTAAAGCTGCCTAGTGACAGCACTGGTTACTGAAATTTCAATTGAAGTCTGAGTTATCTGACAAAAAGTGAAAAGAGGGTTTATCCAACCCTCTTTCCTATAAACGCGAGGGTGAAAAAGGCTGTTTGGTTCTGACATTGTTTTGGACGCCAATGACCATAGCTGTCCGAAATGAACGTTACAGGACGCATACATGGTATCCTCCAGAGGTCTCACAACTTGTATATCTGGGAATTTTTTAAGGTAACATGAGGTCAGGTCGGTCACGTGACATCACTACATCATAAGTCAATGGGGAAATATAAAAACTGTTATTTTGGCGCCGAGAATGATCTAAAACTATCTCACGTACATGGTATCGTGATTTCATGCACTCCTTGCAAAATCCAATGCTTCACTTTTGCATTGTTAACCTTGCGTGACGTCATTTATGACGTCACTAGGGTTGTACGAGTTTTTCGTCAATAACTCCCGATCAAATGGAGCTAGAGAGTCGGGAAAGCCACCAATGGACTCGGGATGACCTTCCGAATCGAATGATATGCCATATGATACCCTTTGCCCAGCTTCGTGACCTGAGGGGCTCTGACCTGACCTTGACTCGAGGTCAACTTCTTAAGTTGACCTCACCATAGCAAAAAGTATACCATTCGATGCACCTGAGCTAGACGAACACAATGATGCCAAAATCGTGGCTCTGCGGCCATTTTTTGCGAAGTTATTTACTAAAAACCGAACCCGTAACTTCAGTCACTTGACCTGACCTCAGACGCTACCGGTTAACCTGAGACCTTAAAATCGGGTACCAATCGCTGCGACTTGTAACGGCACACACGCAGGTTTTTTCCGCGAGGCTCTAGCTCCATTAGAAGCGAAACGGCGTGCTGGGGTCGTATGAACCCCTCCGAAACCCATTTTGTTTGCAGGAAAATGAGGAACTTATAGAAAGAACACCTTTCTAATTTTTTTGCATGTCGATTTGCAATGACATGAAGTTTATTTTGAAGAATTAAAAATGTGAAAAATTTTGGTCCCAAAAGTCAATAGAGGCAAATGAAAAAAGATTAAGGTTTTTGCTCAATAATGAAAATTTTTCTTTGGAATTTTTAAATAGTAATATTAATTTTTGATTCATCGCAAGCTTAATGTTATTTACTTTGTGTTGGCTGCTTAACCCGTTCTTGAGTTATAGGCCATCAAACTTACCGTTACAAACCGAGGTTAAAAAATGTAGTGCAATATAACTCAAAAAGTTTTGATCTGAGAAGTCTGATATTTTGCCAGGCGTCTTTGGGGCATATGATTACCCCTAGGACCGATTTTCATTAAAATCTGAGAGATGAGGGTGACGGGCCTGGTACGATCTATCGTGGAATGCCCCAGGTAGTAAAATACCTAATTAGGTAGTTGAAGTGCATTCTGAAAGAACTTGTTACCACAATCAGTCCGTCATTCCTTGAGTGGACGCCCTGCTGCAAGTTTCACATGTAACAATTATTCGGATCTGTTTGCAGGTTGTGTTCGGTCTGATGCTGCTGGTGCTGGCGCTGCTGGCTATCAGCCAATCGGAAGCCACTGGGTACGTAACTCGCTGTCCTCAGGCTCCTATGCGTAATCAACAGAATTAGATGATTCGTAAATGTAAAAATAACTTTTTGACGCAGATTTCTCACCTGAAGTAAAACACCTTTTGTCCTTTCCCGTGCGCAAAATAAGTTGAATGACATTTAGCCATTAACCGTTACCAAAAATCGACATTGAATGTTGATAACGCTATGAATACTGTTTCGTTCAAGCTCAAAATAATGTGCACAAATGGGTACAGTTTTCTATGGGGAGTCATTGCACGATGCTTCAGAACATTTCACGCATTTTGAGTAGCTTATTCCCAATGTCCCAAGCTAAAAGAGCAAGCAGATACATCCGAGTTGTATGTACGTTTCCATTTATACCTTTATCTGTTACTGTGCGTTACTACCTGATGCTTGAACGCTATTACATTGTTTGTGCTTCGTGCTCGTTTACATTTGAACGTAAAATTGAAGCACGTCTCTCTCGCATGAACTCCCCTCTGGTCCCCATATTTCTAGCACACATCATCTCCACGGCCCGCCCCTATGTCGCTGCGACCCTGAACCCTAAGTTGACCGGTTTGTGCACATCCCCAACAGGTTCGGATACAGGAGATACCCGTACTACGGTGGCTACGGACTGGGATACGGCGGGCTGGGCGGCTTCGGACGCTACAGCAGTTACGGATACGGCTATCCGGGCTTCAGCTACTACGGCTGATCTCTTCTGTAGCTCGCGACGTTGCGTGTCTTGGTGTGCCAGCCAGGGAGGCCATTGACCTCCGATGCAAATGCTGATGTAAGATGGTTTTACCCGTATTTTACTGGCATTTTTATGTGGTGGTTTTGGCACCAGAATTCGAATATGGTGGAGGTAAATCTCTCGCCAGGTAATGTCATCTGGCTCCCCCTGCGATGAGGTGTTTTGAGTAATGTGTCTTACATGTAACGTTCATACCACAATATCAAATACATTCGTTGGTTACTGAAGCGAACGTTTTAAGGTGAAACATCAAAATGCCAGTGACATTCTTAATAGAACCTTCCAATACTTTTTCTCCTAAAGGTTGCTAAATCGCTTCGCATCTGCAGCAATGATCTGGTTAATAAGACCCACTTGATATGTAATTGCACGACACGTATACCAACTAAAAAAAAAACAAAATGGATAAAACATCATACTATGGACATCATAAAAGCATCTATATTATGCTCTCGATGCACGTCATGATAATAGGATAATTGTCTTTTCAAAAAAGTTATCCTAGTATTACGTACAAAGCAATACTTTCGTGACGCTTAGCACAAGTTAAAAACTGTAATGTTTGTCTGTCATTGGTCAATGGTGATAACATTTGACCGGGTGTTTTAGATCTTCCAATGCTGCTCGAAAAAAATTGCGCAGGGAGCATTTAACAACCACACAGTGACACAGGTACTTACAAACGAAAACACATTTCACAAACATTGGCCCATGCTTTAGAAACTGATAGTAAATTTCATCCTCATGCTAGGTGCATTTTTATTAGAATCTGTATGACACCACAAAGTATACAAATATAAAACACGATTTTGACTCAGAAACCGAACAAGGCGTCATACTTGCGCACGTCGATCCAGGCGGTTCCAGACTGGTCGGGATCACCGTGTTCCTGGTGGGATGATCAATGACATCACGTATTACAAATTACATAACGTGCAGGCTGCCGGCGCAACGAGAAGTAACCTTGGCAGCCCACGACCTAACCAACCATTGCGGATTAGCGGCGCAGTGATTCAACGCAAACGCTCAATGTCAGACGCTTAAAAATGAGAAATGACCTTATAGGGCTGTTGGTCAGAAAGAGGGAGGCGGGAACATATAGAGGCGGGGAACAGGAAGATGGACGAGAAGCAGAAAAGAAGGCGGGGAACAGGTAAGGATGGGAACCGGAGAAGGAGGCAAAAAGATAGATGGAAACGGGAAACATGATGAGAGGCGGGGATAGGAGAGGCGGAAAGAGGAAGAGAGACTAGGAACAGCTAGAGAGGCGGGGTCAAGAAGAGGGTCGCGGAGCACAAAGGAAGACGACAGACATTCCTAGCCCGCGCCCAGCCGTGCGGTCCGATCTCTCGGGCAATCAGCAAAGAGGGAGAGGTGTTTTACGCCCCACTCTAACTCTTCTTCTGGGCCGCATAGCGATAGACAACGGACGACACTCAAAAGGTCGTTACGATCCAATATATCAAGAAGTTCTGACAAAAGCAGAGCGGCTTGTTGCTTGTTGGTGCAATTGAATTACGAGAATTATAATATCCTAAGCCTGAAATTGTGCAAGAACTAGCAGATCCTAGGAATAACTCATGAATGATGAGTTATTCTTGAGTTAATCTTGTATACAAACAAGATTAAGGCCAGATAGCCGTCTCGACACACTGACACAATTCTTAAATTGCTTGTATTGCGACATATGAGCTCGTTATGACCTGGCTATAACCATATGCCATCCACTGAATGCGTCATGACGCGAATTATAGCCTTCATCATTCGGCGTTTATCTTAACACCAAATTGGCTGATATCAGTTACCTTCAGCTTAGTCAGACAATGCTGTAAGAGACTATTCTTACCACTACAGTGTCACGCTTTGAAGTTTGACATTTGGCAACTGGCAGCACATGCAACCAAATCGCTGATTTGCCGCAAGTGCCTCTGCAAGTATTGAGCAATGCCAGCATTGAGCAGGTCGTACAATGTGCGCATTGATTCACTACTGCCTTAGTATCAGCCTACTGCACGTGTTTTGTGAGTGATTTGTTCCATTAGGTATACCGTATTCCTTTGGTCTTTGTCTGTAGCAGAGTGGCTAGACGGACTTTTTATAGTATTATCACGTTGCCGAGGTCATTCTTCAATCCACCCCAGACACATCAGCTCAGCTCACATATTAAATGCTCCAGAATTAGAACTGGCAGTGATACCATTGCCGCATGCTACGACAGGAAACAACTACGGCCATAATCTGATAAGGATGTCTAAAACCATGCTTCACGTATTTCGACCAGGATGTGAACATCGTTGATAAGATGGGATGGGATGAAAACTAATTCCGTTACATACCATCTCTCCTAAACAAAAGAGATATTTTACTACAGCTGCAGAAAATGTCTTACAAAGATGGGGAAAAAGAAAGAATAAGCCAGCAAAACTAGTTCCGAAAATCGACATTTCAATGTTTTCCTAATTTATTGGATATAAGTCATAGATTAACAATTGTCTTTCGATGCTCTGTGATTCCATATTTGTAGTTAAAATGCAATGGCTAGTTGTATTACGGACTACGCATGGCACCTTATGCCTCTTATGCACCTTATGCACCATCGCCTCTTGATTTAATTGTGGCAGAGGCTTGCTCGAAAGCTCACCAATCATCGAGGAAATCGTTTAATTAAATCATCTGCTGGCACATATCGGTAACAGCAAAGGATTTGAAACTCGCCAAAGGTAATGGGATAATGAGCCCGATTCAGCCGTATGAGAGCAGCTGAGTACTTGGTGATGCTTTGTTGTGTTTGTTGAATAGCAAGATCGGGGTCAGTCATGGGAGTCTCCACTCGACTTTCCTCCTTTCTCTAAAATGTTCATCCGATGTGTCAGGCACGCCGTGGTTGAGCTGTATGTCTAAAGTCTTCATGTTTTATCTTCTTATTTATCTTCTCATTCTAGCAGCTGCACGCCAACATAACTGTGAAAGCCGCAGAATATTAAAATGCTCATATCAGTTACTCTCTTCCCTTCTCTTCCCTCTCACTCTCTCTCTCTCTCTCTCTCTCTCTCTCTCTCTCTCTCTCTCTCTCTCTCTCTCTCTCTCTCTCTCTCTCTCTCTCTCTCTCTCTCTCTCTCTCTCTCTCTCTCTCTCTCTCTCTCTCTCTCTCTCTCTCTCTCTCTCTCTCTCCAAGAAATAATTGAAAAGTTTAATTTTAAAAAGTTACCACAGCCGCGCGGTTATAGGGTGACCGGAGGGGTCATATTAATTTTTCGATGGATCAGACATTCTCCGTGCGCATGCGTACAGGGCTTCTTATTTTGTTCCTGTAAAAGGGTTATTTTCCGCAGGCTGCTCATTCATAAAAAGATACCTTTTTGGAATGCAGGTGATCAGCTTAAAGCTTACATAATATAATGCGTATGTTATATAAGCGGCCATTATGAAACACAGGGTGATAAATTTCACGCGAGGATCATCTTACATTTTGGCTTTGGCGCTTGAGGTGTTCCAGGGAAAATTTCAAGGGAGCAAGCACCAGGCTTTGGCTTTGTGGTACCCAACATAAACGTTGGAATTTATTATTATCCTCGACACAAATAGCAAAACGATGAAATTACAGAAGCCGGAAAACGTGACCACTTTTCTGGAATATGGGTCAATTGAATATAGTTATCTGGCACATCTGACTCACATATGGCAAATGAATGAGACCGAGAACCCAGTTACAATGAATTGTGCAACCACACTCTGCTTGATCGCGCAATCGATAGCGTTGCTAACGATTCGTGCACGATTAACACAGAAGCAATTGAGAACACTGAATCACTACCGTAAAAAGACGACAAGACCTTTGTAGCTGACAGGAAAAACGCAAGCTTTGTCCCAGATCTTGTTGATTTCGTTAGATCCCGTTGCCACACGGGGACCATCTAGCCTCAACTGAAGGGCGCGCCGGCTCCGGTGCAAATCCAAGGTCCGGCTCCGAGTCTGGTCCATCGTGCTGTTTCACGGGCGACGGCTGGCGATGATAGCGGACATTTCTACAGAGATTACTGCGTTAAGCGATTCAATCCCAGCGGCGGCGCCCCGACGCTTCAGGGTTTTCCGCGATGCACTAAGCCAGGTGTGAGTATAAAGAGTAGGCCGTCCGACCGACTGGCATAGTATCTCATCGGCAGCTCTTCAGAACACATCATGAGGGCGGTGGGTAACAGACAGTGCTGGAAAGGCGCGGCAGTGATGGGGTGGACAGAGTTCTATACTAGCGAAGGGCTGCGAAGGGGCGTTGCCGCAGTGTCAGTGCGAATGAAAACAATGGAGCCACCTTGTGCAGCATTTTGTGAGATCAGCGTTGTGCTTAATTTGATAACTGGAAGTGAAAGTTTTATCGGAAAAGTAAAATTGTGTAGCGTTTTTGGTGTTATTGCATCGATTTAGATGCATATTTGCTGAAATTACTTCATTCGCTCATTACTCATAACTTCATTGGCCGTCTTCTGCTATGTTATGCTAGGCATTTATCATGAACTCTTTTTCGGCTCTTCTAACACCTTTGGTTTTCATAGCTGACCATTCGCTCCCCTTTTCCGGCAGATCGCTATCCTGTGCGCGCTGGTGCTTCTGCTGGCCGTGGCCAACGCCACAAAGGGCAAGGGCTTCGGCGGCGGCGGCTACGGGGGTGGCTACGCGGTACACCACGTCTATCATCCTGTCTACTACCACCCGCAGCCGATCTACTACGGAGGATACGGCCACGGCGGCTATGGCTACGGTCACGGCGGCATCAGCCACGGCGGCGGCTACGGCTACTGGAAGTAGATTGACACGGACACGGCATGAATTATTGCTCAACCTGGGTCAGTCGGAATGGCGCTGAAAAGCTGTTTCGGCTGGGAGATGTGAAAATTATCGCAAACATTTTTTATACGGCTCACTGCGTTCATTTCATTGCTGGATATATGAACCATGAACTGTGAACAATACCTGTGACTGTTTGGCACTGATATCACCGTTTTAGTGTTGAATACATGTGATATGAATGTGTAGATTACATACATGCGTTTAAACGTTTCAAGATTTCCCACGAATCTTTTCGGATTATGAGCATGTGTAAAATGACACAAAAAGGTCAAAAGGGTGAGATTAAACTGAGTGACCATCCCACCTTTATATTAGTTTTGAGTTTTGAGTTTGAGTTTCGAATTGGCGAATGGGCTAGAGAGAGAATTTTTGTGATGCCTTCTGTTAGCGGGTGCAACTGATTTGTTTTTTCAAATTTGGGCACGAGTTTCCGGATTTTACCAAAAACCTGTGGCAGATGACGGGTCAAATTCTTAACTTTACGATCAAGTAAATCTCAACTAATCCTCTGCGAGTAGGGTGGCTTCCGTTGACCACATGCCTACTGCCATCAAAAGTTCCGGACGGCGACTGCCACCTCCCCTTATCCCTCCGCAGTCCGCAACCACTCCCCTCGGCCCGGCCCGCTGCGCTGGCTGCCTCCGCGTGTCAGGCTTCGGTCAGTGCTACCAGTGGCTCTCAAACATTTCCGCTCAGCCGCGGCTGGGACAGGTGGCGCCTTCCCTCAGAGTCGCGATACTTTCAAGAGAGACTATACCCCTATTCCTGGCGGGGGGGCCTCAGGAGCCCCCCCCCCCCTGAGGTTTTTTGGTTATATCTCCCAAACGCTTTGAGCTAGGAAGCTCAAATTTTCTGACTTTTTCTAAAAGGCTTTTATGCAACATTTCTGAAAATTTTGAGTTGATCTGACCTCAGGTCAGGTCACCAGAGGCGGTTTGGTGACCCTACCTCAGAAAAGTTTGCAATCACGCCAGAGCTAGAGTTTTTGACCGATCAATTTCTTCTCTTCAGGCTTTAGTTAGCGTACCAGTATGTGCAATTTGTATATCTCAGAATTTTCATATCTGTGACCTGAGGTCAGGCCAGACTCGTGACCTTTACATTGCAAGCCTATGGGAAAATATTGAAACGCCTCCTGCTTCGTGTAAACGAGTCAAAACCACCCAGTTCTTTCAGTATTATGGAAGATTATCTCATCGGTGATGATCCTGGTGCCGCTAATTGACAGGGGCACCGGCAAAGGTCATCTGAGGTCATGTGACGTCATAAATCGTTTTTCTGTCAATAAATCACGACATGATGGTGCTAAAGGCTTGTAAGTGGTACCAAACTGCTCGCCTGGTCAAGGCGCGTCGTTTGGTATGCAGCATGACCATACCCCACAACCTCATTGATGAATGACCTGACCTTGACCTCAGGTCAAATTCTAAATTGACCTGTGAAGGTCATCACATACTTATTTCGCATCGCCTCGGCGAGAGCAACAAAAAATGTATTGGTTTTATGTCTCTATGTTTCTTAGTTTAAAAGTTATATAGGTAACTAATTCCAAAACATTTTATCGGTGATGACCTCTGGTGACCTCAATATTGACCTGACCTGAAAATGTTTCATGTAAAAGTTGTAGATCTTTAAACGACCTATCAAACGCCGTTCGCCGTTTGTCGCTGCGATGTGTAGTTTTTGAGATCTGAAGGGGGGCCGAATCGGCCTCCCCCCCCCCCCGCCAGTTTCTTGTCCCGGCGGAGCCCGCCAGGAATAGGGATACAAGGGCAGCTGATGACCAGCGATCACTCAAAAGGTCATGTTAGGTCATCAAAGGTCACCAGCAGTTTTTCGACCATAATTATGGTCGAAAAACTATGTATGTCCCATCAAAAGTTATAACTTTTGATGGGACATAGTACCTAGAGCAATCGATTCGAAACGGGCGGGTCTGGAATGTGTTCAGGTCATCAATACGAATCGACTGATTTGCATCGTGCTCGTTTCCAGTCAAGGCATGAACTTGACCTGAGGTCAAATTTTGAATTGAACTTTTCTGGTTCATTCGTTGCATCTTGACAAAATAAAGAATGATGGTAAATGAATTTCAAACGGTTTTTGACACCACTGTTGTTACAAAAAGTTTTGTCAAAACAATTTCGGCAAAATGCGTCTATCTTTTTTTTTTGCCTCTTTGGCCAAATCGTTAACCCGCGCCGGGCCGGGGGGTGTTTGAACACCCCCCCCTGCGGTTTTTCGCAGATATCTCAAAAAACGGCGGCGCGGAGCGCCGCCGTTTTTGGCACACCTGTTTGTGCATCTTTTCCGCACGCGTTGTGAAAATTTCAGACCCAGGTCACCTTAGGTCAGGTCACCAGGTCACGCCAAGTGACCTCACCTCAGACAAAAAAATAAGAATGCTCGTCATAGCTACACCGATTGATCGATTGCCTTGAAACTTTCAGCGATTGATAAGAGCAACATCATCTATAAAATGTATATCTCGGAATTTTGATATCGGTGACCTAAGGTCAGGTCAATTTTGCGGCCTCTCCATTATAAGTCAACGAGAGAAAATTGAAAAGCGTCTGTTTTGCACGAACGCTATTCTAGACACTCTCAAACATCAAGATGTAGGTAAAATTGACACACTGAACCGGAAAATAGCACCTGTGACCCCTCGTTATGTCCCCGAGGTCATCTCAGGTCACGAACAGAATCTAACAGTTTTTCGCTAATAACTACTGATAGATACGTGCTAGAGCGCTGAAAACGCCTTAAATGTGTTCGGCTCGACGTTACGGATCGACTGATATGCAATATGACCTTTTCCGGTCAGGTCAGACCTTGACCTGAGGTCAAATTTTCAAGTTGACCTTTCAAGGTCAAATTATAGTTCATTCGACGCGTCTTGACGAGAGGAACACAATGGTGACAACAGTAATGTCATTGCTCTTTTGAGTCAAAAGTTATTGCTGAAAAAAAAAACGCTTTTCGTAAAAAACGGCTATTTTTGGAGTTTTTGCCCTCTGGAGGCTAAACGTTTACCTGAGGTCAAATCTGAGAACAATATTCAGAAAGGTCTGTAAAAGGGCTATCGAATGCGCTTTCCGCGGCGCTGTAGCTCTATCGGTTCCCGAGATAGCCGTGGGCAGTTTCCAAAATGTTGAAATAGTCAACATTTTACCTTTGGTGACCTCTGGTGACCTGACCTTTGACCTGACCCAAAAAATGACCGAAGTGTTTTCGTCCTTATTTTGGACGTTCTTTCGATTGCCGCTTACCGCGTGTCGCTACGTGTCCCAGGAGCCGAGTTAGAAGGGGGAGGGGTGTTCAGACACCCCAGGCGAGTGACCTGGCCCGGCGCTGAATCTCAGAGCACCGACCCGGCGCGGGTTAATGTCAGGTCAAATCTGATGAAATGTTAGCAAAACCCTTTGAAATACCTATTGAATGCGCTTTTCCACGACCCTAGCTCTTTTGGTTTACCTACGAAATATACGCCAACGTATTACAGCTGTCAAAAAGAGGAATTTTCGCATTAGTTTTATCTTTGGTGACCTCTAGTGACCTCAGCGATGCAATCGAAAAATGACCTTTACGATTCTGAAAAAAATCGATAGTGAGCTATCTATGGCTTTTTCGCGTCTTGTTACTTATAGCCTTCTCAGTTTTTTTTTGGTGTGTGTGTTTGGGGGGGGGGGTTATAGGGGAAAGTGGGGTAAGACGGACACCTTAACTTTGGAGCCATTTTTCGGCCGGTTAGAAACATCATAGAAACGGGAAACTGAGTGAAAACCTCTTTTAGACATTTTACTTCCATTTGCCAGAAGATGAGACTTAGACCTGATTCAACAAATAAACTGCAGCTATTTTTGCAAAACCTTGCAAAAACCCGTCTTACCCCACCCCATGGGGTAAGACGGTCACATGGGTAGGGCAAGACGGCCAGCTTCTTTCACCGACCAGTACAGCTCGCAACAAATGCCCGAAATTAGCTGCATTGATACAGTCGCTCGTTGGTCTCAAGTGCCTCGGAAATGGCAGTATACAAGATTTGTGCAGAAGGCGTATGCTCGTATATAGGCCCTAGATCAGAAGTCATGTAGAACCGTTTTTCACATTCATCATTCGAGAATAAACTGTGCCGAAGGAATATTGCTAACATGTCTGTGAGTATCGGAATCGAAGATATTCTTATAAGAAATGCTTCTTTTTTTCCTACAGCAACAAAAATATTTTCACCATTACAGACCCATTGGATTCATAGTTGCCCGTCTTACCCCTAACTCAATGTAAGAAGTTCAGCACAATTTTTCTCTGTGGACAATTTGATGCAGACAAAGCAAATCCGCGGTAAATGAACACTGGTGGCATATGAGTGTACCACAAGTGATTGCGAGTTTTTAGCTGTATAGTGCTGCACACAAAAACTTGCACAATACATTATGGATGTTTTCAATGAAATTAGTGTTTTAAAGAAATCAAAATAAAAGATTATCGACTGAACACAAAATCACCAAACTTCAATGGTGGTGTGTAGTGGGAAAGACAATTCTGGTCCTAATTTTTCTCGCTCGTAGCGCTATTGGTTTGGTCTGCAGAAGGGGTGCCCGTCTTACCTACCCTGACCGTCTTACCCCACTTTCCCCTAGGGTGTGGCCAATTACGCCCCCCCCCCGACACACACACCACCGCCACTGTGACAATGTTTACTAAAATGCCCACCAAGGCGCTGGTCTCATCCATCAATCATCTTTTACCTTCGATCTGATCAAAAACACAGGAAGGAACAACTCATAGCATTTCTGACGAACTTTTGCTCCCATCTGTCGTTAGTGATTGAAAAGAAGCAATAGACTGGCCCCCTCCCCCTCATCCACCTGGAACCCCAGCTAAGCTGGTGCTAAGCATTAGCACCTTGCAAGGCTAGGCTATGCAAACCGGCACTTGATAGCACAGGCAGCGTCGCCATCGGTCGATTTGTCTTACACTGGTGTTCGTCTTACCCGCTAGGTGGCGCTGAGTGCGGCGAACATCGGTGGCTGGTGTATGCTTGCTGATCAATGAGGATGAGATGTTCCTAAAACCAAGTTCTTGAATTGAGGGGCTTTGAGCCATGATCTTGACCTGATGTCAACGTCGTTTCTCTTACCCATAAGTATTTCGAAAACTGATAAGTTCGACAAGAGCTATAAATGCGTTTGAAGCATTAAGATATTTTGAAGGCCCTGGTGTGGGGAATAGGACGGCGGGAGGAGCAGGTGCTCTTTCCTATAATTTGGACAAGAGCCCGTTGGAGATAGGTCCGACTAAAAAAAAAAAAATACCCGGCATCAACATAGGTAATGAGGTGGGCACCTATGCGACTATACGTATTTCGGTATTTGATCCGTGCCACGTTCTTCATTACGTGGCATCAAATATGAGGAAATCTCAACCAATCGTATTAACCCGCGCCCCACTGGGGGGGGGGGCTATTTATAGCCCCCCCTCCCGTTTTTCTGCAATAACTTCCAAACCGCTTGACGAATCGACGCCAAACTTTCAGTACCTTCGGCTGCATCAATTTGACACCTTGTGTCAAAATTTGAACTTCGTAGCTACCATAGGTCGGCCGGAAATGACGTCAGAGTGACGTCATGTTCGTCCGATTTCGACGCAAAACATTGAACCACGGCAATCGCTCCCAAGAGCTCAGTTTTTAAGCTAGATCCAATTTCTTTGCATGAAAGAACTCAGAATTGACCGCGCTATCAAACTGTTATCTCGGATTTTCAAAATTTTGAAAATTTCGAAAATTTTTGTATAATAATATTCAAAATTTATATTTTTATATTTTTTTCAAAAAGTTTTTGACTTTTCGAAAAAACCGGAATATATGTGACAGAACGCATGATTATGACTAACTCTAGCAAGTTTTAGCTACATATCTTCAAAAATGGCCAAGTTATACGCATTATTGCAAAAAATTCACAATTATTAATTTTTCAAATCAATTTTTCAGTACGTATTTGGCATCGTACACCAATATAAATGGCACCATCGTGTTCCTGAGCTCAAACTGCATCCAATAGACACCTTTTTTGTTGAAAAATTTCAACTTCAAAATTTGACCTTTTTTGACCTGAAAGTGATCTGACCTAAGCTAATTTCGACTCAAAATGACCTTGAATGACACAGACGACATCAAATTCGAAATCTATGGCCTAAATGGACCATAAATCATGTGTCACGTGACCGACGCATGATATAATATTTTCGTGACCTGTGATGACCTGACCCTGACCTGAAAATCAAAGTACAAGTTTGGTACCCTCAAGGTATCTAGAGCATCTGTTCACGAGTGCGGAAACCAAAAATGAGCCTGATCTGACTTGTAAGACGGCGGCCAGAGCCCAAAATGTGAACAAGCCAAAGTGCTAATAATTTTTACTTTGACCTGACCTGTGACGTCATCGGTGACCTCGAGGTCAATGAAATTAGGTTTCGCTCGACAGTTCTTCCGGGGCTATCAGACGCCGTTTGAATTTTGACGATCGGCCCAGTAGTTTCGGAGTTAGGAGGGGGGGCTATGAATAGCCCCCCCCCCCCCCCAGTAGGGCGTGTTATACACAGACCCCAGTGGGGCGCGGGTTAAGTTGAGCCTTGGTAACTCAGTTATATTTGACACACAAAATTGACATGGACACAAAACAGTATCATCACAAAAAAACGGTCATAAAACAATTACAATTACATTATATGGCACAGGTATGGCAGCACTTCTTTCCTCTTGGAGACTCCGCAAGAGATCTCGCTGGTAAGGACTTCATTGCATTACCTTCGATAAGACGCCAATGATGCTAGCACAGCCTGTTTAGTAGCCATAGGACCCAGCGTAGCCGCCGTGAATCCCACCATGATATCCGCTGTGGTATCCACTATGGTATCCGCCGTGGTATCCGCCGTGGTATCCGCCGTGGCCGTATCCTCCGTAGTAGATCGGTCGCGGATAGTGGTAGACAGGGTGATAGACGTGATGCACTGCGTAGCCACCCCCGTAGCCGTAGCCGCCGCCGCCGAAGCCCTTGCCCTTGGTGGCGTCGGCCACGGCCAGCAGAAGCACCAGCGCGCACAGGATAGCGATCTGCCGGGGGGGGGGGGTAGGGGGAGGGGAGGTCATAAATAAATCCAGTGCGCTGGAATATGTGAATGAGCCGATTGGTAGAGCCGGAGCCTTAACCTTCGCCCCAGTGGGGGGGGGGGGGGCATATGTTACCAGTTACCACCCTGTCGCGTTTTTCGCGTGTGAATAAAAAACCGCGGCGCGTAGCGCCGCGCCGCTTGAGGTAGCTTTTGGTACATCAATTTTGGACAATGTGTGAAATTTTTGACCCCAGGTCATGTCAGGTCAGGTCACCAGGTCAAGTTGACTGACCAAGTCTTAAAAAAAGTTTGCAATCATGTCCAGCCTGCAGTGTTTGTCAGAAAGGTTTTAAACTTGGTGGATTGCATGCTGTTATGGGATCCTACAATTTGTATATCTCGGATTTTTTATATCCGTGACCTAAGGTCAGGTCAGTGGCATGACCTTTCCATTACAAGTCAATGGAGAAAAATGAAAATGCCTCTAGATCCGTGTGTACGCATAGGAACAGTCCAAATATTTCAGAATCACAATGATTTAGTCCACTCGTGATGACCAAGGTGTCATTTTTGCTGATAGCCTCTAGAAAGGTCATCCGAGGTCATTTGAGGCTACAAACAGTTTTTTGCCAATAACTCGCGATTGGAAAGAGATAGAACGCTGGGGATGGTCTCATTGTGTTTGTCTTGTTGAGACGCATCGACTGATATGCAACATGACCTTTTCCGGTCAGGTCATGACCTTGACCTGAGGTCAAATTTTTAAGTTGACCTTTCAAGGTCAAATTATAGTTCATTCGACGCGTCTCGGTGAGGGGAACACGATTCTGGCAATAGAAATGTCGTGGCTTTTTGTAGTCGAAAGTTATTGTCGAAAAACACTTTTCGTAAAAACAGCTATTTTTGGAGTTTTTGCCCTCTGGAGGCTAAACCGTTGACCTGAGGACAATATTGATTATAACCTTTTCAAAAGAAGAGTTCAAAAGCTATCGATTGCTTTTCAATGCGTTTTTCTAGCTACCATAGTTCCTGAGATAGCGGCATGTTTTCTGAAAAATATAATGACAATTGGCAAATTTTGACCTTTGATGACCTCTGGTGACCCCAATATTGCTCTAAGGTGAAAAATGACCGAAATACTTTCAAACGTACGTATTGAGAGCTATCGACTGCTTTTTACCGCGTCTTTCTAGCCCTCTTAGTTTTTGAGTTAGAGGTGGGTGGTAACATATGCCCCCCCCCCCTCACTATGGCGAAGTTGGCCGAGACCGCCACTGGGGCGCGGGTTAACTACTAAGCAGAGGCCTTTACGCAGGTCTCAATCCCTACTGTCTGATCAAACGAGCTCGTGATGCATCGGTATAATTTTGATAACGAAGTTATTTTTGAGCATCCATGAGTTGTGCTTGGAGTTCAATAAAAAGAGACCTTATTAACCCTTCCACGCCTCAACATGGGTCGGAGAACATAAGCTCGATACAGATGAAATCACCTAAAAAGTTCTCAAATATATCCAAGATCCAAACTGCCATGCAATATTTCGACTACAATTTCTAGCTGAGCTCAGGGATCCTCAGTTCACACGAAATATGAGCATTTCTCTAGATAACCTTACTGACGGACGGGAACGCGGTCCCACCGATTCAGTTCGTTCTTCTGCACTCCCAACACCAACACTGCGTAGAATCCGGTATACCCACCGCCTTCATGATGCCTTCGGTGTGATCCTGGCGAACACTGTGTCCGGTCACACGCGCTCCCTTCTTTATACCCCCGTCGGGATTAGGTAGCGGTGTCTTACCAGTGCCTGGAAAAGCCGTACGGATACAGGAGCAGGACTGGTAAGAACGGTGCCAGTCATGCTTTCTGTGTCTGTTTGCGTCATTTGTGGTAACGTTTCACTATTACTAACGGATACATCGGTGTTCGAGGCTCAAACCACTGCAGATAGGCAGAGTTGTAGGGGGATGTTATCTGCCGTAGTTGCTACAGTTCAGTCATGAAAACAGTGTAGGAGAGCAGTGTAACTCCAACTTTATGATGTGCAAAGCAGTAAATTCACAATAAAGTGCTGCAATCTCAGAAGGCAGTACGCAAAAATGTTTCGGAGGACACGATGGCGTGTTTTCTGATACTTATTTTCGATCTGCGTCAATAAGAATCTTAACAATGGAAGAAAATATCCCTGTCAGCCAACAAGGAGTGAATTTTTTTAACAAAATTTTAATTGCAAACAGGGTGTCCGGAAAGTTCTGACACCTCTCTTCGACGCCATCTACCGCGCTGTTGTGATTATTGGACGATCAATCACCTCTGGCTGACCCCTCGTTGACGAGTGAGCTGTGGGAAATGCAAATGTGATCTTGAAATCGTGAACAGCGATGGGTAGACGGGCGAATATATGCGCCTTGTCGCTGAATGCCTGCGCGCGGTGGCCGGATGCGACTTGAACGAGGCGTGAGTTGCAGCACGATGTGGCGTTTCTCGGCGAATGGTTCAGCAGGTAAGTTTATTCCGACTCGAGAACTCCTTAGAAAATATCCTCATGCCAGTATGTACGGCCGCGGTAGGTCAAAACTGCCGAGAGCGATGCAGCATTTCAATGGCAATCGAAGAGAATTTCTGATTTTATCTGAATTTCTGATGGACATAAATGTCCCACAATCTTCGTGAACGTCAAATAAATGAATAACATGCTGCTCATTAGGGGCTCCTAAACAGGCACATCGCACATCTACCCGAGGGTCAAGGCGAATTGCTCTAACGGTCACCTCGCATTTCAACAGCGCGAAGCATCCTCCAACAACGCCGCTGCCATCCAAGCAAAACTGACGGAGGAGCTCGGCGGGCCAGATCACCTGTGGCGGAATGAGATTAGGCCACCTTATTATCATAACCTTAACCCGTTTGACTAAGACGTGTTGCGCGATTTGCAGAATAAGCTCTAGGGCCACCACTCATCCCAACCGGTATCAGTGACATCAAATAACTAGCAACACATGTGTTTGGCAAACAATTATCCATCGATGATTTTCAACAACATCGCTTTTGCTCGATTTAAATGAGACATTTGACCTGACCTGTGACATAATCGCTTGGACCGAGGTCAATGAAACTGGGTCGCAAGTTCTCCGGTAGGGCTATCCAACGCCGTTTGAATTTTGAAAATCAACCGGCAACTTTCCGAGATCTTAGGGGGGCTGAAACGCCCCCCCCCCCCCTGCTACGGGTGGCAGGGTCCACTGATAGCCCTACGGGGCGCGGGTTATCAGACATTATTTTCGATTAAAACACTGAAATAAACTCATCATGTGAAGATATCTGTTAAAAAGAGATTTGTTGTAGATTTTGTCAAGTTTGGTGCATTTGCCACATAAACCGTCGTGAAATGACTAATAACGATGCTATCATTTTTCCTTTTGGCAATAGCTTGATCGAGGGGGTACAATATGTACGATCTTGCCCCTTCCCTTCGAATTTAGTTAGACAGGCGTGACAAAATAGCAGTTAGCACCAATTTGTAAGTCTCGGGTCAGTCTGTGACCTCTGAGGTCAGTTAACGTAATCTAAATTTACTGTCAGGTTTTTGGTGGATAATTTTGTCAAAATGGTCACTTGGCAGTTGGCAGTTGACAGTTGGCGCCAAAACGCCTGCAATTGTTCGGGAGCGTCGAAAGGTGCACATTTGTTTCGGAAGGGGCAACTTTGATTTTGACCTATGGCAGGTTAAAGCCATTAGGGGATGTTGTGGTTCGAGGGAGGTCATGTGTATCATTCGATTGGTGGCAGCTCCATGGCATGCATCTCCCACCTTATTTCCTCAATTTATGATCGGGAGTTGAGCATCGGTATGCTTAAGTTATGGTCTGCACGCGTTTCCTGTTCTCATGTTTTGTATCTAACTTGCAATGAAAGTGCGTGATAAGCTTACCCTTGAGAACTCAAGAATTAGCACTCATCCGGCTAGCGTTGCGCAAAAGTTGCTCACATCCTGAACACCGTGTCGAGCGTGACTCACTTCCAAGGCGCACACGCTGTGGTTGGCCTACATGAAATGGTGAAATCGAGCCAATTCGATCCGGTCTGGACGACCTTGACACCAGAGCGTTTGGTGCCAAGGTATAGTGAGAAGGCCTATTATGCTGATCGGTATGCGATACTATGCCACCCAGTCATGCGCGATTTTCAAGAACTTTTGTTCTATCGACTGGAAATGTGTGAGTTTTTATAATGCTTATATCATGTAAGGAGGCAGATAAATCGAAATGAAATAGGCAACTTTAGGAATTGTTAAACATAGAAATCGGTCTTCATAAAATAGTTGTCATGTTCATGATAACCTGCATTCGTGTTATGCCAAGTAGCACTGAAAGCATAGACAAGCAGTCAGCACCTGCGGCCCTCGCCGAACCTAGGTTTTCTAACTACATACGCCGCGGCCAAGGGGGGGGGGGTGCGAACCCCCTTGCTGTTTCGCCGCTAATGGAGTTAAAGTCTCGCAGAAAAACGAACGTATGCACCGATACGAGACGCAGCTACTGGTACCCGATTTTAACCCTCGCCGGCACAGGCCATTTTGCGTCCTTCGACGGCTCAATCCCTATAACATGAAATCATGATCTGAGAAGCTTTTACCAAAAATGCAGTCAAAAAACTTAACGAAAAGTAAATTCAGCAAGCCTAAAATGCAATGTTTTTAGATGACCTAGGTTGACCTTGACCTGACCCTGACATCTGCATATCGTCGAATAGCATGTTTCATGATAGGTGGGAGGTAAAAACTAGCAAAAACATACCGAAATCAAGGTGTCAAAAGCTCACAAGACCCATAAGTAACGCAAGATATTGAGTTTTGGTCATTTGGGTCATGACATGACCTGAAAAAAAAAACAATGTCATATCTCCAAAACCCAATGCCACAGGCCCACAGGAACTTGAAATTTTCAGTGGACGCTGAGAATGGATAGAGGAGCAGCTATACGAAAAATCAGGCTTCTAGCTTTGAACGTGTTTAGTGCAGAACAGAAATATACCTGGGGGTGGCAACCTAGCCCCCCCCCCCCCCCCCCCATGTGCGGGCGAGCGTTATGGCAGGGCGGTCATGGTGTGGTGCGTGTGTTGTGGGGAGTTGGAGTTGGGAGTCGGTGGGAGTCACGTGACCGACCGGACATCAGGTGACTCTTTAGTCTTTAGAACTAATCAGAGATATACAAGTTGCGAGACTTCTCGAGAATACTAGGTCCTGTGAGTTTCGTCTCCCTGTGGAAGTTCCTCTGGCACTGAGGGACGAGGGCGTTGCGGAGTTGCGACAATTCAGGACCGTGCAAAGGTTTATTTATGACGTCATAGGTTAGTGACCTGACAGACACAGCCTGTAACTGCAGTTTATGTCAACAGCTCCGGTTTGAATCAAAGATCAGTTATGCAAAGTTTCAGCTCTCTATGACCGGCGTAATGTGAGCTATCATGGAAAAATCCTATTGGGGGCAACGCCCGCCTCCCCTTCGGCCGGTGACGGTTATCAAAGTCCCAAGTTAGAGCAGCTACGCACTGTTGCGAATTGCGATGTATGGCTTCCCTTTCAAAAGCATGCAGATGTGTTGACGAATGACGATCATGGGCGATCCACACATGGCGTGGCGATTACTGTCTGATACCGCATGCACCTGATTAATTCTGGCGTTGGATATATGATGTATTGATCGGTTTCTTGTCCAACTACATTCTACAATAATGAAAACTTAGCACCCTCATCAGAAGTTCAGAACATTCTTCTCTGTTGAGCCAAGCTGAGCTGTCGAGTTGTCAGCCCCGCAGTTCAGTGACCCAATCAAAGGAACCTGCCGGGCTGAGCATCCTGAAGTGATCGGCTAGACCACCTCGCTTGTTTAGCCTGACTGCGCAGAAATGCCGTTAATCTCATCAAGATCCCCTTGCACCAGTTTCTCAGTTCCGGTCTGTAGTTGAGGCTTAGTGCGTAAATACGTGCGTAAGTGCATAGATTCGTACCTGATAACTCATAACTCGTTCTTGGTACTGGCCATGACTGCCTCGCTCAAAACTGGTCTCCACCGGATTTGGGGATGCGATGCGGTTTTCTGTGACATCCTGATGCAAGGAGACCTTGAAGCTGAGATACTGGTTTGGTGAGATTAGGCACCCCTCCCCCTCCCCTCCAGCTAAGCCTGGACATCCCGAGAAATCGGCAGGCTTGATGATGCAGGGGAGATGTTGGAGTTTGTACTTTTGATTCGGTCATGCCTATAGGTTGAACGTGTTGCATAAGCCTTATTGATACATTCACAGCCTTAGGTTTTCGGCTAATCGTGTTTAACGCTGTATTCAAATAAGATAAGTTGTTTTGTTTATTATGTCACTTCAAACAGCTTCAGCCTTCAAGCGTAACAAATAACAAGCACTCTGGCTGCAACTGTAACGCTGCTTTAGAGCCAATCAAATAGGCTCCGCTTCATCAATTGTACATACAATGTCATATCTCCTTTCAATGTTTCCCGGAAACATTACCCGAGCCACGCCCCTAAACGACCAAGGAAGCCACCAAACAATGGCTCCTGTCTCCGCCTAAAGCCTTCCCCGAATCTTCCTCCTCCTACACCTCCAAATCTTCCCCCTGCTACACTTCCCACTCCTCCCCCTGGCGCTCCTCCCGCTCCTCCCCCTGGCACTCTCCTCAGTCCACCTTCACTCACTCCTCTCAGTCCTCCCTCTGTCGCTCCTCTCACTCCTCCCACTCTATCCCTTGTCACTCCTCCCGGTCTTCCTCCCGGCAATCCCTCTCTCCTTCCTCCCAATATTCCTCCTTGTCTTCTAAATCCACCAACGTCTCCTAAGAAAGGTCTTTGGCCGCCACCCAGGATACCCTGACCACCTAAAACGCGGTCGAAGAAGTTCCGGAAGAATCTGAAATAAAAAACAAAAACGTATTATTATGGTGCATCGCCGCATGTGCCAATTTATATCAAAAGATAAATTGGATTTGCCTAGAAGCATTTTAATGCATTTGTAACTGAATCAATGGCTCTTTAATTAACCCGCGCCCCACTGGGGTCTGTGTATAACACGCCCTACGGGGGGG